TAAACGCGCATTGTACAAGCAAGGGCACTTGTTGGGAAACTCTCAAAGGTAGTAATACGTCTTTGCAAAACAAGTCAGTAGAACTATAGTGTCAAGGTAGTATATACGTTTTGACAAGTAGATTGTATATGTAGTCTTATATGTAAATCAAGCCAAGGTAGTCATGATACATCTTGACTAGTAGGATTTTCTGTAGGTTTGAGTTAGGGTAGTAATACGTCCTAACATTAATGCTAACCAAGGCTGTAACCCAGCATAACACTTCTAATCTCTAGATAATGACGTCTTCTGACAAAACACCAAGATTAGCACAAGTAGTGTCGTCTGACAGCAACATTTCAGGCACGTGGAAACAACAATCGGAACAATCATCGAAGCACAATTATTCCAAATAATCGTAATCATCAAATTAGCAAACCAGCATTATATTATAATTAATTAGATTGTAAAACCTTATTTTATTTTAAATTCTCCTAAATAAATAATTGAATTACTACATCACATTGTCTTTGACTTCCAAAATAAAAATTCTATTGCAACGACCCCTGGACGACGGCTGAGTATACCTCAGCATCATCAGCGACAGAAAGTGTGTCGTTACAACACACAAATATTAGTTACACCCAACATCACTTATAATTAATAAAAGAGGAAACACATTCCTCTTAAAATATACTAAGGTTCAGAATAAAAACTGCACCGCGCTGTATACAAAGCATGCAAATGAAATACATTCACATTGGGACTATGTTCAATATTGAATAAACACAAAACATACAAACAAATATAGAAAACACAACCCTAAATAAAGTTATCGATATCTACAGATCAAAAGAAGTAACAGAAAAACAACTTCGCGGAATTGAATCATTACCATTTGAAGTGTAATAATAAATTTTATTTTTGTAATATTAAATTTATTAATTATACATGCAGGTTTGCCATGTATAATAAATTTGTTTAAATATAAATTTATTATTTTTTTTTAAAGATTTTCATTCGATATAATTAGTTTCTTCTTATTAGAATTAGCAGGAAGAAATCTGCTCATTAGTAGGCATCCTAGAATGCCGAGACAAAATAATTTTTGAGACTTTTGTTTAAGCTGTTCGAGCTCAGTTTAAAATCTGAATTTTATTATCAATTTTCCAAACTATTTATACAAAATGTTTTACAATAATTTACAAATATCTTTCCTAATAATTTCAATTGCGGCGGCACTAAAAAGGTTGACCCACGTCAATGCTTAAAAAATATTATGACACATTCAAGTGTGTCATATCGACAAGTGCAGAATAGTAGCACAGAAAAGAAAAGTGTCAAATAGCAATTGCATACTTGCTATGACCAAATATTCTACCTGCATTGCGGTGGTTCTTCCGTGTGCGATCGCATTACATATTACATTAGTTAATATAAAATAATTTGTACATAAGCACTTTCATAACATAATTTATTGTTTGTTTACATTGTTGCGCTATACACAACAGAAGTCAATAAAATTGACAAACGCAAGAAGCATCACGACAGTAATACCCAAAAGAGATTAATAAGTTTTGCGGATACGATTATCGCGATAAGATCGAACAATACAAAACAAGAAAGGAAGTATGCAGGAAATACAATAAAAAGGGACATTACGCCAGAGTCCGTATGTCTAAAAACAAAACGCAAAGTGAGGAGAAAATGACACAAAGCAAAAGAAGACATGTTAAAGAACGATAAGTAATAACGATAAGAAAAAATGAGAGATGCCAGAGTAATGAGCGTTCTAAAGAGTATGTTCTGCATACAGTAGAAGCTGGGTCATCAATAGATATTTTTATAGATTTAATCATCTACAACAACAACAGTTGCAAAATAAGATGTCAACTGGATACGGGCACGACGTGCAATATAATTGGAAAAAAAGATTTATGGAAATATTTCCAGACCCTGATATGAAAAGCACTAAAACAACATTAAAAACCCTTGACGGAAAGCGTATAATGCCAACGGGCACAGTACAGCTAATATAGAAAGCATGGAAAGCACAAATTAATACTTTTTTGGTCGAAACTGAACACTGTCCATTACTATCAGCTCAAACATGTCAAGAGACGGAGCTTATAAAAATTTGCAAAAATGTAAAAGTAAATTTTGAAAACAAAAAGGCACAGATTATAATTAACAAATACAATGATGTATTTGAAGGGCTAGGTAAAATCGAAGGAAACATTTTACTCGAAATTGATAACAATATACCACCGAGAAATGAAGCACCAAGACGTATTCCTGTATCGTTACGAGAACAGCTGTGGCAACGCTAAATTAAAAGTGACACATAGTTTTTGACATACAGTATGAAACGAGTCAGTTATAGTTAAGCATTGTACGAGAAGAGTAAGAAATTGAAACGTGTTAAAAATAAAGGAAAAACTATTGCTTAAAATATCAGAAGTGGGATTACTCAACATTAATAAATCTGACATCAAAAAACTTCAGCTTTATACTTTAGTTGAATTAAAAGCTTGGTTGGAGTAGCTTGGATGTAAAACAAGTGGTAATAAAAACGAATTAATTCGCCGATTAATTCAAATACCTGAGGAACGCCGTGGTGTTTTTCTAGGAAAAACGACAAAAATATTAAATGATGTGACGCTTACGGAACATGTTGGCGCCGACGCCGATGCATGCGCAAGCAACAACAATAGTAACTCTGAAGAAGATGACAATCATATTCTTGAGGAACAACAAATTATACAAACACATAAAAAGAAGAATCAAATGAGTGAAATTGTAAGTCAGAAACAAATGATAACAGAACAAATGACAGCGAATATGAGTCGAATGAGTGTTATGAACACAAATATTGAGCGAGAAGAAAATAATAACAGTGTCTCTGCTGCACAAGTCAATTCGTTAAAGGAGAACGAAAATGAACTCTTGAAATGGGAGCTCAAACTGTTAAAACGAGAGCTAAACATAGAAAGACGAGAAAAAGAAATTTTAATGAAAGAAAATAAAACATTAAAAAAAGAAAGCCAACAGAATGAAAAAAAAGATTACGCGTTAAATAATAAAGTTAATTTTTCAACTATAAAAGAATTGCTGTCCGAATTTTCTGGAACTGGTGATAATTTTCAGCTTTGGGAAGCACAATTACAAAGTATCCGAACGGCTTATAATCTGGATGATAATAATACTAGAGCACTGATTTCTAACAAACTCAATGGAAAGGCGTTAAAGTGGCTACATACAAGAAACGATTTAATGACTGTACCAATTGAAACCCTAATAAACGATATGGGGAAACTGTTTGAAGACCGCTCAACTAAACTGCAGCTGAAACGTACATTTGAAGCCAGAAGGTGGCAAACAAATGAGACTTTTGAAGAATATTTTTACGATAAAACCATTCTCGCGGGTAAGTTGTGCATTGAAGAAACTGAGCTGCTGGAGTACATTGTGGAGGGGATTCCAGACTATGGTTTATGTTCACAAGCTAAATTACAATGTTTCCGTGACAAGTACCAACTGTTGGAAGCGTTCCACAAAATAAGTCTTCCAAAACCAGCAACACCAAAACAATCATTGACTGTTCGCCAGAACACTTCGAATGAAAAATCAACATCAGCCGATTTTGTGGTTTCTGCATCGACTCGTTGCTATAATTGCAACTCTCTTGGGCATGTTGCAGCTGAATGCCGCAAACCAAAGCGGGAGCCGAGGGCGTGTTACGTTTGTGCGCAAATGGGACATCGAGCAGCTGACTGCTCAATGAGGAAAACGCAAGTTCATTATGCCGACGCTGTTGAGGGTGATAACGAATACGTAAGAAATATAAAATTTAGTTTTAATTATTCAAATATTGATCAGTCACTTTATTTAGAATCATTAATTGACACTGGTAGTCCAATCAGTTTTATACGCCAACAGTTCGTGCCACTTGTTAAGTTAATAAATCAAGAAAAATGTAAAATTTTAAATTTTTGTTGTATATGTAAACAAAAGTCATTTACAAATACTTGGACAAATAGTATGCACAGTTTTATATGATAATAAAAAAATAAATCTTAAATTATTCATAGTAGCTAATGAAACTATGAGTTACCCAGTTCTATTAGGAAGAGATTTTTTGAAGAAAGCTAAATTAAAATTAGTAATACAACATGATCCAACTGAACAGTTAATTAATTTTAATCAAAAGAGTAAAGATTGTGATGAAAATATTATTAACGATTTAATGAATATTGAATACTATGAACCAATTCATGAGATTAGTGTTAATAATAGTGATGTTGACTACAATACTAGAAAGAAATTTAATATGTTGTATGAAGATTATGTAAACCGCAAACGTCCAGATTAACCTGAGATAAAGTGCGAAATGAAATTAATTTTAAATGATGATAAACCCTTCCAATACCATCCACGTAGGCTATCATATCACGAAAAGCAACAAGTAGAGTCAATTATTGACGAGTTAATGAGAAAAAAAGTTGTGAGGCCAAGTAATTCAGAGTATGCATCTCCTATTGTTCTGATTAAAAAGAAAACAGGTGATACCCGACTATGCGTAGATTTCAGAACTTTGAACAAAGTCACTTTGAAAGATAACTATCCACTACCATTAATCGACGATTTACTTGATCGACTGGCGGGTAAAACTTTATTTTCATTGTTAGATTTAAAGAGTGCTTTTTATCACGTGCACATGAGTGAGGATTCTATTAAATATACTGCTTTCGTAACTCCATTAGGACAGTTTGAATTTTTAAAAATGCCTTTCGGGTTTAGAAATGCACCTTCGGTTTTCCAACGTTTTGTGAACCAAGTTTTTGACGATTTGATCAGATCAGGAAAAATAGCGATATATTTAGATGATATAATGATCGCCACGAAATCTGCTGACGAACATTTACAAATTTTGACAGAAGTGTTCGACAGACTAGTAAATAATAAATTAGAGCTGCGTTTAGATAAGTGTAGATTCATGGAATCAAAAATAAACTATCTAGGCTATATAATTTCTAAAGAAGGGATACAACCTGACGGGAAGAATATAGAATCAGTTCTTAATTTTCCAGTGCCGCATAACGCTAAAACAGTTCATAGTTTTCTTGGATTGTGTTCATATTTTAGAAGATTTATTCAACAGTTTTCATTATTGGCACAACCATTATATGACTTAGTTCGCAAGAACTCAGTTTTTCAGTTTGGACTAAAAGAAGTAGAATGTTTTGAAACTCTTAAACAAAAATTAATTGATGCTCCTATTCTTGCGATATACGACCCAAGAGACCAAACAGAACTACACTGTGATGCTAGTTCACATGGTTTCGGGGCTATAATGTTACAAAAAAAGGGGGATGGTAAGCTTCACCCAATTTTCTATTTTTCAAAAAGAACAACTGAACATGAATCAAAATATCACAGTTTCGAGTTAGAAACATTAGCTATTATTTATGCTCTACGCAGATTCAGGATATATTTACATGGAATAAAATTTAAAATTGTAACCGATTGTCATTCATTAGCGTTAACCTTAAACAAAAAAGAAATAAATCCCAGGATAGCCAGATGGGCCCTGGAGTTAGAAAATTTTGATTACTCTTTAGAGCACCGTAAAGGAGAAAAGATGTAGCACGTAGATGCACTTAGTAGAAACACGAATATACTAGTGTTAGAAGAAAATACTTTTGAACAAAATCTATCCATATGTCAGTACCAAGATGAGGTAATTAATGAGATAAGGAAGAAATTAGAAAAAGAAGAGAGTAGTTACTTTGAAATGAGAAATGGGTTGGTCTATAAAAAGAAAGGAAACACCATACTGTTTTATGTGCCAAACAATATGGAGAGGAATATACTACAGCTTTATCATGATGATATGATAAAGTTGCTGATTCTATACTTAAATCTTATTGGTTTCCGAAACTCAGAACAAAAATAAAAGATCATATCGCCAATTGACTAAAGTGTATAACTTTTTCAGCAAAGTGCGGAAAGCACGAGGGGTATTTACACAATATTCCAAAGGGCTTAGTCCCTTTTGAAACTGTCCACATTGATCATTTTGGTCCAGTTAAAATTAAAAATTCTAAAAAGAAATATGTATTCTTGATAGTA